TACTCGGTGGGTGGGGTGGGGGGGGTGCTGCGGAGTGTTGGGGGAGGCATAAAGCAGCTCTTTCAAAAGGAACAGAAGCTTCTCTAGGAAAGATGTTGCTCCTAGTGAAAATCTTGAACAAGCTGATAAAGATATGCTCTTTCAATATGTAAATAATAACTCTACAGTAGTTAAAGATAACAAGTCCAAAGCTGTAAAGTCTGAAGGTGGGCCCTGCAATGGTTCTGCTCATATTGAGTGCTTTCGTGTTTCTCCTTACATTTCTATGCGTGAAGACAAATCTTCTGTCTGTCGTTATTGAGCCCAAAGAGTTCAAGAAGTGGTAGCACATGCCTATAAAATCAGCATTCAGAAGGCTGAGGCAGGGAGGATCCTTCTGGATTTGAAGCCAGTCTGAGCTACATAATGAATTCAAGGCCAAGCTGAACTACAAAGTAAGACCCTTCTCAAAACAAAACAAAACAAAAAGGCCAGATTGCATCACGGGAAATATGCTGGAAAGACTGTCAGAGATTATGTTGCTGCTTCCTTATTAGGATGTAAAGTGGAGCAACTGTAAAAAGTTACTGTAAACTACCAGGTTTTAATTGAGCCAAAATTAAATCATCTCTTCACCTTAGTCTGAGTGATGACAGGAATGACTCCTTAAAGGTTTCTACCTCTACTGCCTTAAAGTACCAATGCATAAGAAATCAGTAGTTCATGGTATGAAGATTTGGAAGGCTAAAAATAATAAAGAAGAAGGCACTTGTGTTATAGTCAGAGCTTCAAGCAGAAATGTCTGTTTAGGAAGTACTTAAGTAGCCTGAGGGATACACTGTGAACTTCACAGGTCTTTTGCTGCAGGGGATGCGCTCTGAAGGACCCCACACCTTGTGTTCTCTCTCCTTGGCCCCAAGATGCACCAAGTGCAACATCCTGAAAAGCATCCTGCAGAGTCCAGTGACCTATGGGCCATAGCATTCAAAATTGGAGATGCTTTGACCCTGCCAATCTGAAGAAAGAACAACTCATCTCCTATGACAGTATGATTTAGGTCCAGGAGAAACTAGGGAATGGCAAGAGATAGGTACAAAATAGTGGGCTAAGTTATTTTATATTTGGATTGCTTCTGAAAAAGATGGAAGGTCTTGGGAAATCCCCATGTAGTTCTTTATTTCTGAAAATCTCAGAAACTATGGTAATTAGAGAGGCCCATTAGAAAAAAGAAGTTGATATCGCTGATGATTCTGTCTTCAGAGTGACAAGGGTCTTTCCCACTAGGTGAATGAAAACAACCATATTAGGTGGGGTCCTCAAAATCCTCTCTGTAATCTGAAGGCAATGGATGCTCAGGAACTCTACCAGAGGCCAGAAAGAGGTTTATAGATGGGCTTCAGGCCCCTGTGACTCAGTGGCAGGACATGGCCTTTTCTGTGCCCAGTAGAGCAGAGTGGGAGAAAGATAAAAAGAGAAATGCTGAAGAAAAATAACCTTCTTTTCCCACAGTGTCTAATCTGCTGCTAATCCCATCCAGGATATTTTTCTTTTTTCTTTTAAAAAAGGGTATAAAATTGCCTTAAAACAGAAAAACTACAAATGATACAGAATTCCACTTAATAACATAATATGAATTGGACAGTGTGTGTTGTAATGCATAGACTTGTCTTCCAATGAGTTATTCATATAAGCAGATACATGTATGCAAAATTGGAAGAAGAAAATATAATACACAAGAACTTAAGAGGAGAAACAATTGAAAAAAGGAGACAAAACAACTTAAGCATTGTCTGCTCCTTTCCATAGACCAGCAGAAATTCACAGTACAGTTGTCCAAGCCATCCTGTTTACATACATAGATATATCTTTTTCCCCTACACCATTTCCTGTCCTCCTCATCTCAGTAACTCTTTCCTTTTGAATAAGTATCTATTGTACCCTTCAAATTTCATTTATTTATTTTTTTTTCAGATTTCATGTCATGTTCTATTTCAAGTTCTTACATGAAGAAGACATTATGATGTTTGCACATGACGGTCTGATTTATTTCACTTAAGAGTATGGTCTCTAGTTGCATCCATTTACCAACAAAAGTCTCATATTTATGAGAAATATTGTGTATTTCTCATTGTGTAAAATACAATTTCTTTATCAATTCCGTAGTTGACAGGCATCTGGGTTATTTCTGGGATTTAGCTATGACAAATTGAGCTGCTCTAAAATGGGTGTACATACATCATTGTAGTATCATGTTTTCACTTCTTCTGTAAAAATACCCAGGATGGGAATAACTGGCTTGAATGGAATCTCCAATCCTAGCTTGTGAAGGATCTCCACATGCTTTCCATAGTGGTTGTACCAGTCTGCACTCCCATGAACAGTGGAGAAGGTTTCCTTTTTCACAATCCCTCCAGTATTTATTATTGGCTGACTTCTATTTCTTTTCTTTTCTTTTGCCTTCTTCCATTTATGTAATTGGTACAGGGTCTCACTACACAGCTCAGACTCATAGCGATCCTCCTGCTTTCAGTCTCCCCAGTTCTGAGATTATAGGTATGCACCACCACATCTGGATGCAGTCACCAGCTCACCACTCCCAGGGGCAGGGCTGGCGTGGCATGAGGGACCAAGGTTCAATCCCTGATCCCTGCACTTGCTTAAGCAGGCGCTTAGTCCACTGAGCTATTTTGTCAGCCCTTCTCATCAGCCCTTGGCTAATTTCTTGATGTTAGCCATTTTCTTTCTGGGGTGAAACAGAATCTTAGTGTTGTGTTAATTTGTACTTCTCAAATGATTAATAATGTTGAACATTTTTTCATATATTTATTCGTCATTTGTATTTCTTCATCTGAAAACTGTGTATTCATCTCATATGCCCATTTTTATATTGGGTCTGTGAATTTTGAGGCCCTTATTTTTTTAATACTTTGTATGTTCTAGATAGAAGGCCTTTGTCAGAGGGCTAGTGGGCTATAATTTGCTCCCAGTTTGTTAATTTTCTTTTCACTCTGTTGGTATGAAGTGCAGAAACTTTTCAAAAAGATGAGATCCCAGTTGTTCATTCTTTAAAGGATTTCAGATGCAGTTTAGTTTTTGTTCATGAGCTCTCTACCTACCCCTATGTCTTTAAGATTTCTGCCTACATTTTCCTCCAGAAGATTTAGTGTTTCAGTTTTAATATTTAAATCCTTTACCCATTTTAATTTATTATTTATTTTATTTATTTATTGTAATAAAACTGTTTGTTCAAAGTACCAACTAATATACTTTAACAGAAAAGCCCTGGAGGTTTATTAGACTATTTCTGAAAGGGAAAAAAAATAAAACTTAAGACAGCTCAGATACAGCAGCAACAACAACTAACATTTGTGTAGCACTTTACAATTCACAAAGTGCTTTCCATATACATTATCTCATTGAATCCTCACAATAACCCTGTGAGGTAGGTATTTTTGCCAATTTATAAGTGAGGTAACTGAGGCTCCAAGGTTCCAGGACCTTTAAAGAGATCCACTGTGAACAATTAAAGATGGACCATAAAACCACATCTTTTTCTCCAAGTATCATTTAATGCCAAATAAGTATTCCTTTTTCAATGCAGAATTATACCATATAATATCAAAGATGAAAGATCTTAGTCACAACTGCTCCAGCTTTTCAAAAATGGAAACTTTCTTGAGGCAATTTTTGATTTATATGAAAATTTTCTTAATTAACTTGTTCCATTTTAATAAATTTAGCCAATAGCACCATAACTTTTGTCTCCTTACGAAGTACAGACAAATGAAACAGCTTTCCCCTTGTTTTAGTATTGCAGATGATCCTTTAGAGAAGAGCACACATGTAGGATCTGGGAATCTGAACACTAATTCTAAACTCCCAACCCTCCTTGACTTACAAGCAAATTCACACAGGAAAAAAAAAGTTCTGTTCTCCTCTGTAGGAGACACAGCACAATATACATCATAGCAGTCATGCTGTGGTAGAAATTAGCTTCTTCACAACTAAAAGATCAAGGAAGGGAAGGCAATATACTAAACCTCCACTGAGCCTCGGGTGCCCCAAACTAACAGGCATATTGTTTTTACATGAATGAATGAATTAATTATGACTATCATGACCAAAGAGTTGTTACAAAGCATCTGCTCATGCCACTAGTACAAAACAAACAGAAATATGGCCCTATCCTAGGGCAATTTGCTGAAGGGTCTTCTAAGCTCTGCCATTTCTGAAGTGGGTGTTCATCACAGAACAACAACAAGGAGGCTGACACAAGAAAACAAAGGAAAACAAGCTACCCAAGTAGCTAACTGTAACAACCTGCAATATAGTAATTACAAGTAAATGGGACACAGAACAGTTTCCCTAATTAAAGCCACAGTGTGGCACAGCTGTGGAGCACTAAAAAACAACTGAAGCCAAAAAACCAGTCTGGCATGGGACCAGGAGGAGGACTGTTCTTTTTCAGAAGAACTTTACCCTGGTGGTGCCTCTGAAAAGGAGCATCCCATCAGCAACAGCTCTTTGCAAAAAATAATCACAGGATGGATGTGATGTATGTTCGGGATCAGAAGAACCAACAATCTTTCCATTAGCAGTTTAGCCACAGGTATACATACATCATATCACATACATATACTTAATCTAATTCATTTATACCAAACTACAGGAAAAGAATAGCAATTTCCAACATTTTACTAGCACATAACTTTGCAGAAAAACTTAATGAAAAAAGAATCATGCAATTTTACATTTTTGGTGCTCGTTTTCAAACTGCTACCAAATTTAGAAAATCGCTTGTGCCTTGTAACAAAGGACTTCCAGGATCTAAATACCAATAAAACACCTCTAGCATTTAAAGAGTTTATTAGACACATACAATTACATTCAGTGAAGCTATGAGTGAGCTACAAAATGGAAAATTAATAACTCATTAATAAAACCTGGAACACATCTCAATAAATTCAAACGTTTTAGCATAACATCTCTTTACCAGTTTTTTTTTTTAATGCAGAAGGACCCATTAAACATTTATGTAATAAAATTCAAAGTTCTATGCTAAATGCAGAGAATGTTAGTGCACAGCATAATGTAGTTACATATCACCTTTCTTCCGCAACACTTACATTACTTCACAATTATAGTGATTATGAAACTATTAATACAAAGCAGAACACGTCTTCAAATTAAGGTACCTTTTGCTGTACGTAGCAAAGACTGTCTTCCTGCACCAAGTAAAGAAGTAACTTTTGAGTTACTGGGTGGAATTTCTTTATCCAGCATAGGACCGATGCGCTGGCAGATTTGCAACAGGTGATCAGGAGCCACATGCTTATTAGACAAGACCAATTCCTCGTAGCTCCTGCTGTGCTCTGTGCCCTCCCAGTCCAGCCTCTTCCACAACAGCTGGTACTGCTCCAGCTCTTGCACCAGCACCTGGGCGGCTCTGTGACACGGGCCGGCCGACAGGTACCGGGCAATGAGAAAGGAGAGTTCCGGCTCCATAAGGTGAGCGGGGCGTTGGGCGGGCGATGGCTCCGCCATGGCCGGGCGCAGAGGCAGAAGCAGGAGAGAGCGAGCGGGGCATGTAGACCGCGCTGAGGCTTGAGCGGGCCGGCCTTGATTGTAGTTTAGTGCATGGTGATAGACATGAGTCTAATTTTAGCCTTCAGCATGTGGACAGCCAGTTTTTCCAGCACCATTTATTAAAGAGGCTATTTTTCTTCCAGGGAGCGTGAAAGACATGGCCCCTTTGTCAAAGGTAGGGTGACTGAGTGTGTTTGTAGTTATGTCTGTTTTTT